AACATCTTTAACCAAAAGCTGAATGAAATAAATGAAAACATTTCTCTGGAATATTAAAGGTCAATGGAAATAGTGCATGGGCATCAAACATTCTCCTGTTGAGCTTAAAAGGTAAATATCAGTATGACCCCCTAATATATGAAAAAAAAAAGCGCTTGGCTGTAAATATATTTATATATGTGTGTGTGCACCCCCACACACAAAAAAACACATGTATCCATATAAAATTATTTCCACTTTCTTTTTTTTTAATAAATTAATTTTTATTGGTGTTCGATTTACCAACATACAGAATAACACCCAGTGCTCATCCCGTCAAATGTCTCCTTCAGTGCCCGTCACCCATTCACCCCCACCCCCCGCCCTCCTCCCCTTCCACCACCCCTAGTTCATTTCCCAGAGTTAGGAGTCTTTATATTTCCACTTTCCAGCTTAGTAAAATATTAAAAGTACACAAACAGCACAAAACACAAAATGAACTCTATTATTAGTAGCATGATTAAGCGACTTAAGAATACTGAGGTACCTAATAATTTGTACTCTAAACATCTGCCTAAAAAAATACTTTCAGGAGTCACATCTGATAGCCTAGTGTTTAATCTTCAGGGTTCTTTGTTTGTTTTTACTGAGTCTACAGTGATTTACCTAAAGTAACCAGAGGCCTTTCTAAACCTTTACATGGAACCTACCTGTAAAAACTAAGTCCCTCTGAAATCTCTGAAATTCTCCAACAAGAAAGTATAGGTCATTCAGCAAAATATATTTACTGTATACTACCATAAAAGCTATTTAATTGTTATCATTATGATGCAGATATATAATAGAAACAGATGTTCCTTTTTCCTTTCAGCAAAGCACAGGAAAAGCATAAACTTGCTGATATTGCATGGACTACTATCATAGCACAATAGAGGAAAAAAGACATTAGCACATGACAATATTAGTTTTTACTACACAACTAATTGCATAAAAAGTATAACTTGAGATCATTAAATCAATATAATTTTCAGCACTACAGAAGGGAAACAAATAGATTTGTATAACCAGCCTATTTCACATCTGCAGTTGAGAAAATACTTCTGAGAGACTAAGTGTATGCAAAATGCTGCCACTGCTTTCAGAAGACAAGGAAAGAGTGTTGTTCTGTTTTCTTTGCTCATGTAATATAAATTAGAATGCTGCCTCTACAGAGAAATTTTTTAAATCGTATCAGTATAAACCAGAAGAACCTTTCTGGAAAAACAATCTGGGAATTGATATCAAGAACCTTAAAAAACAGTCTGTACCATCATCTAAGCGAATTCTTTTGTAATAATACATTGTAAGGAAATAACCAGAAGGATGAATAAGATTTATTTAAAATGTCATTCATCATCATTTTATTTACAATAATGGAAAATTAGAAATCTAACTCTCCAATAGTAGAACAATGATTAACTAAATCATACATGTTAAAACATTAAAGTCAATATAAATGACTTTAATAATTTTAATTATACAGCAAATTTTTCACTGTATGATGCCAACCGAAAAAGGCAGGATACAAAGTGGTATATCTATCTACGTATGTATAAATAAAACATGTAAATGCTAGGAGGAAAAAGGCTTAGAGAAAATACACCAAATGTCATTTCTAACTTTTGCAAATTATTATGAGCAAATACCAGCTTTTTAATCACAAAGTTATATTTTCTTTAAACAATTAAACAATTCTATTTCTATGTTCTAATATTCTATGTCCTTGTTCAAAGTTTCTAAAACTTCTTTGCATCAAATTATCCTACAAGTATTTATAAATAAATTGACTTAAAATTATGTTGCTATATTACTTGATCCTAAAATCTGGCATACAAAAAAAGTGTGTGTCAATCACACAGACAACACTTTTCCTACGTCAAATAAGATACTTAGAAATTAGAGATAATTTTTACGAGACAAATATTATAAATGGTTACATAAGAACTATTAACATGATGTTTTTAAGTCACCAAGTCAAAGAAATGTTTCAATTAAAACTATCTCTGAACCAGATAGAGTAGCCTATTAATTGCTCTCCCCAACAGGCCAATAAAAAGTTTGCCATGGCTCTTACTAGGATTCCTGGTTTCATGATTCTATTTTTACAGAAAGGAGCTGATTTGTCTTAGGCTATTACTGTCTATTACTTCTAGAAGTCTTGAGGAAAGGTGGGAAGCAGCAAATTCTGGCAATCTGCCTAAAGAGAAATCAATGAAACAAATTAATCCTTCGCAGGCTGCAATGACACAGTAATCCATCATTCAGAGCTGCTTTTATATAGCAAATCAGAGAGCAGAGGAAAGAGCCCTGCGGGACATTACAGACAACAACTTACACCAACACTGGGAAAATACTGAGGAATCAGTTTATTTAAAGAGGATAGATTTCAGTTGATTGCCTATTTCGTCAAATAAAGATTTTTTCTTTCACAGTGTAGTGAATCCAAGGCCCAATGACTTTATCTTCAGAATTCAGTACCAAATATCCTAGCTGACATCAATAGGGGATGAATGTTTTTAAATAATTAGCATCATTAATCAGTATAAACAAATATCTAGCTAGAGTAATATTACTTTTTCCATTAAAATTCCAGGTGTTAAGCACATTCCTTGTTTTCAGCAGGGATTAACTCTATATGCAACCACTAATCTACAACTTAATTGACCAATTCCTGGTAAACCGCATATGAAGTATCTTTTTCATATATAAAATATAACCATTCACAATATGTGTAACTTTCTAAGTACTCTGTTAAGTTTAAAGACTTGAACATTTTAATTTCACCTCTAGCCATCAAAGTTCCAACAGCAAGTCAAATTATAAAAAACTTGCTTTGGGGATCTCTGGGTGGCTCAGCGGTTTAGCGCCTGCCTTCAGCCCGGGACGTTATCCTGGAGTCCCAGGATGGAGTCCCACATCAGACTCCCTGAATGGAGCCTGCTTCTCCCTCTGCCTGTGTCTCTGCCTCTCTTTCTCTCTGTGTCTCTCATGAATAAATAAATAAAATCTTTAAAAAGAAAAAAAAAATGCTTTGAAATAATAAGCAGTTCTTTAGCTTTTAATGTCATCAACAATGCTGAAAGATGAAATTAAAAGTGGTTTCTTTTTTAAAAAATAAACATATCAACGTACAGCAATACATTCACACTGAGTATATTTATTTATACATACAAAAGAACACCTAAATTTATTCATGCCTGTGTAGAAACTCCTGCACCTGAGTATGTCTTACTGGAGTAATGTATTCTGAGTGGAATTATACTTCCTAGATGGAAACTCAGAACAAGAACGATAAAGTCACAGTAAATTACTATTGTTAAATACATGCATCACTTTTGTGGTTAAATGTGAGACATGAGAGAAAAGGACTTCCAAGAAATAAATAAAACAAAACAAAAAACCTATCACAATGGTCCCTGAAATGTTAAAACCCAGAATATCTAATCACAGATGAAAAATAGAAAAAAAAAAAAAGGTTAAATAAATGCTACCTCGTCAATTTTTGAGTGGCATCTTCGATTCTGCAGTGCATGGCCATATGACTAGCAATTCCTGGCCATGCTGATACATTTTTAATTCAATACATGGATCTAGTATTTATTGATTTAATAAGGTTAGGGTATTACATTGTTGCTGCTACTGATGAACTGTCAGCAATTCAATCTAGTAAAATCTTACAGAGAAATATATATTTTAGGGGAGCGAGAAACAACAGCTATGTAAATGTAATCCCTTCACTACATACGACAGTGGCAAGAGCAAAGCCCCTTCTTTCCTAGACTGTGTTGAGCTCCAGACATTTGCTCTTACTAAAGATGTTGGCCACCAACTGATTGAGGTTACAGTGAGGGGACTGGAGCAGAGCCTCACAGGTACACCTTCAGAACTAGGGAAAGCAAGGATTTATCTCCCAGTTTCCACCTGTGACCTCTCCTCATAGGTTCTGCAGCATGTACACACACGGGAACACACACATGCACATACACATACCCAAAGACCTGAGCCCTTATCTTGTCACCTAACAGATGTTTAAAGGAGCCTTCTGGGATTTCTCTCTCTAGACCCTAACATTGTGTATGCTTTGTTAGCATGCAGGTGTACATCAAAGAAGGGGGGAAGCTCACTTTCTCAAAACCAACTCTGCCAAAATACAACCAAAGGAGACGGGCTTTAAAAGCTATGTGAGGGGATCCCTGGGTGGCTCAGTGGTTTAGCACCGCCTTTGGCCCAGAGCAAGATCCTGGAGTCCTGGGATCGGGCTCCCTGCATGGAGCCTGCTTCTCTCTCTGCCTCTCTTTCTCTCTCTCTCTCTCTCTCTCTCTCTCTCTCTCTCTCTCATGAATAAATAAAATCTTTTTTAAAAAATTTTAAATTAAAAAGAGAAAAAAGCTATGTGAAAGTAAGGAGGTAGTACGGGATCCAGAATCAGAAAAGGGGAGAAAAACCCACCAAAGTTGCTGAAGCACTTGGGGACTATCGGAAAGCTTTTTGCACTGCTGTGCTACCCTGTTTGTGGGCTTATTTTCCCAACGTAGACACCTGGGAAGCATGTTGTACTCCAGCTTTCCCCTCTGACTTTGAAGAAATGGATAATCTAAGGAGTGGTGCTGCTGCTGGGGTCAGTAAAACTATGCTAATTGGTGAACCTAATTGCTTCAAGCAGTCCTGCCTCTAAACATGGAGAGCAGAGTTGATGGAGTCAGTCTGTTCCTAATAAAATGAAGAAGCACTGAATTAAATTCCCAAGGAAGGCACTATAAAAGTTTCCACAGTGTAACCAAATGACTTCACCTATGCTATTACCCCTAAGATGACATCTTTGAAAGAAAGCAGAGCCCAGTCAGGCTCCATATTCATAAATTGGCTGAGCCTAGGCCAGTGAATCTGGATTGATTTAAAAAGGCTTTTTCATCCTTCCAATCAAATGAAGTCACTGTTAATTAGATGCTTTCTGTTAACAATGTCACTCTCGCCCGCATTACCTGCTCACACTCGCAGCGCCTCTAGTGCAACATCTGGAGCACCAGCTCCCCTGCAATCAGTCCTCCCAGGTTTGGCTGGAGGGTGGTGGTATTTCCGTTTCTCCATCCCTGCCTGAAGGAACATACTATTCAGTGTACTGATGGCGAGATACATACCCACGCGTCTCGTTTGCGAGATGATAAAACAAATACGGGGTCCTCCAAAACAGTCGGCATGAACTACACAGCGGGTCCCCCCCCCCCGTGCAGTTCCCGCCCCGTGGAGAGAGGTTTTCCGAAAACACCAAAGGCCACAAAGTTCTCTCCCACGGACTTGGAAGCTTTCTTAAGACCGAGTTTCTCCTGAAACTAGGAAACTTTGGGGGCGCGCCACAAGCCTTGCTCCTTAGCGCTCTGCCCGCCCCCCGCCCCGCGCCCCGCGCCCCGCGCCAGGCGGTCTGGGCGCCCAGGGCCCCGCGAGCCCTTAGACGGCCTGGGAGCACGGCCGCCCCGCGCAGGCGCAGAGCGCTGGAGCCCCGGGGGCGCGAACCCGCGCCGCGCCCACCTGCTGAGGCGGCCTCCTTCGACGACGACGGGGAGTCTCTGAACTTCACAAAGTTGGCCAGAAGCCGCCCGCACTCCCTCGGCCCCCACCCCTTGCAGGGAAGTTTGCAGCCCCCGCTCCTGAGGGAACCTGGGTGGGCCTGGGTCTCCGCACCCCGCACAGCCCACCTGCGGCACCGCCGGCAGCGCGACCCCTGACCTCGGGCGGCCCCCGCGCGCAGCCACACGCCCGCGTCGAGCGCCCGGAAGCCAGCGCGGCGAGCGAGGCTTCGCGCCCGGATGTGGGCCTCGCTTCCGGGAGCCGCTGGCCCGGGCGGCTGTGCGGGCCGGAGGGGACCCCCGCGTCGGGGGGAGCAGAGGGGAAGCGGACGGAGCGGCCCGGGGCCCACGGGGGAGCCCGGCTGGCGGAGGGCAGCACCGGTTCGCAGGGGAGCCCCCTCCCCACCGGGAGCCAGGGCCCACGGCCTCCGGCCGCTCTGCTCCGAGGGCGCCACCGACAGATCGGGCCCTGGCGGGCGGTCCGGGGGCCGCAGGCCTTCATGGCGGGCGGGGGGGTCCTGAGCCAGGGCGGCTGACCAGGCCGTGCACCGCACCTGGGGCAGCACCTGCGGCCTTGTCCCGGACTCCGGGCCGCCTGAGCATCTTGGGGACCACAGCCTTGGGGGCGTCCGCCTGCCGGGGACGCGGGACGGGCGAGGGGGGCGGGGCGACAGTGAGGTCGCATTTCCTCGATTTCCTCGACCTCCCGGAGGGCTGACCCACAGCAGATGGGGTAGATGGGGTTAGACAGTCACGGTGGAAAGGCAGGGCCATGCCGAGACAGGCCCACTCTGCAGTTGGGGCTCGCAATTACGTGCCTTCAAATGTCTGACCCCCAGGGCCTCGCCCGCAAGAGAGTTTGGGGAAACGAACCTTTTCCTGGGACTCTTTGATGCCCGGCACGTGGGCTCAGGGAGGAAGGCGGACAATAGCCGCCGCCGCCGCCGCCGCCACACCTGCGATCTCTCACTAGCATGAAATCGGGACAACGATTGGAGTCATCTCTCCTTCCGATTCCAGAGGGAGCTCACACCTGCAGCGTCAAGGTCATTCTTCTCCCGGAGACTGGAACGGCGCATCCCAAAAGCGGCTAGGGCCCCAGCCGCCCGCACCCGAGGGGCCTCCCCCGCGCCCGCGCCCGCGCGCTCGCCGACGGAAAAAGGCGATCTGGATTTTTGCTTTTTTTTTCTTCTTCTTCATCTCAGTGCCTGAGGGAACCCTAAGTTGGGGGTTTGTTCGGTGTAATACAATCTTTCGACCCTCTGGAGACCAAACTGCAACCGAGCAAAGAGACATCAGGCGGGAGAAGGAGGGGGTGCAGAGGAGAGTGGCGAGCCGACGTCTGGGCAGGTGGTGCGCGCGGGCTGCTCCGACCCGCGAGGGCACCCAGGGCGCCCGGCCCCGCGGCCCTCCGCAAACCCGGCAGCAATTTGGCCACGTGCTTAGGCTCTGCGTTTTCGGGCGTCACACACACACACAGCGGCACGTGTGTCTCTCTCTGGGTCCTCGGGTCCGTCTGAGGTTGTTCAGACAGCGGAACCCCGCGGGTTCCCGCCGAGCCACTGGATCACTTCGCTCAGGCGGGATGAGGGGCAGCCCTAGGGAGGGCGGAACAAACCGCTGGGCGTTTGGGGACCCAGCCCCGCGCCCGAGATGGGCCGCTAGAGTGACAGGCCAGGGAGGAGCGGCCGGGGCTCCTCCCCGCCCTCCGGTCCGGTCACCTGTCATCCCGCGCTCTCCCGGGTCCTCGTCACGCTCCGCTCTCCGCGGCCACGCGACCACCCCTTGACAGCCCGCGCTGCGCGCCCTGGTGGCTCGCAGGTGCCCCAGCCCTGGGAGCCCGGGCTCCCCCCTTACGGAAGCTTCTAAATAGGAAGGCACTAGCGCCGCGCTCGCCGCCTGCGTATCCGCGTCTCAGACTCGCACCTAGCAACGACTCGCCGACGGTTGGGGTGGTGGGGGGTTCTTTTAAAAGTATATTAAGGGATCATTGGCGTCTCCCCGTCAAGTCATTACGCCTTTATCCCCATCAATTAACCACACCTCCAAAGGCTGCTATTAGGAACTAAATTGAGCTGCAAAAGTAGGTATCCCGTTTCAGGCAGATGTTGTCACCTCCCGCAGAGATAAACGGCCGGCGGGGCCAGACTCGCAGCTTCAGCAGCTGCCCGAGCAGCGACGGACCAGGTTCAGGACTCACAGCTGCGGGACCGGGGGGAGGTCCCCACCCTACGTTGAGCCTGGAGCCTGGGAGAAGCGGGAGGGCCCGAGCTCTCGGACGTCAAGCGTTGTGCAGTTCCGGGGCAGGTGTCTCCAGAGTTGTGCCAGGGAAAAGGCCAGATAAAGGAAAAAAAAAAAAAAACAGCCATGCGTTTTTGCGCAGAGGACTGGAGAATGTTCGCAAACCCGGAGCTCCCCGCCAGAAGAGGGGCGTGGATGACAAGAGGACAAAGTAATGAGTTTTGCCGGCAGCCCTCCTCCGGCAAACCTCACCTCCTCTTCCAGCCACTTCAGCCTTCTTCCTCCCCCCAGAATCCCAGACCCCCTTGTGGAGGAAGGCGCAGGGTTGTATAGGGATGCTGGATATGGAGCTAGGGAATCCGGGACAGAAACGTCGCGTTTAGGACAAAGGGGTTCACCAGGGACCGCCGCGGACCTCTGCACAGACGTGTCTCTCCGCTCTTTCTCACCCCATCACTCCCTAGGACTTGGGGCAAGGCTGTCGTCTGCAGCTGGGAGGCCCCGAGAGCTAAGGGAAGGGGGGAATAGGGGACGTGGCCCTCACTGCAGTTACAGGGCTTTCCTCCCGACACTGACCACAATAAATTTAGCCAAGGCTAAAGGAGATTAATTTCCCAGCATAATCCAATTAAAAGATTTCTAAAGTAATCTTTTGCGAAGATGAAAAAAAAAGTGCGCCGCGAAAGAGGGGACTGGTTTTGATGACAGTGATTTATAACCTCGGCGCAGCTGCGCTGGTCCCTCGCTCTCATGCACACGATGTGACCAAAGCATCCCGTCGGTGCCTCTAGTCCAAACCCTCGCCTTCCTGAAAGACAGCCATCCATCACGCCAACCTGGGCTGGGGTTGCTTACGAGCACCCATAGACTTTTGTAAGTGCTATTAGATTTATGGTCTCTTTTTCGACGCCCATCCAGAGTAATTAGCACATATGTTCTAAATAGATGATAGTTTTGTGAGCAATAAAGCAATTACCCATCGTTGGAGCTGACAGTTCCTCCAACTAAACTCCAACCAGCAGCTAATTGGAAAAGTCATTTCAGCTCCATTGTCTGCAATTAGTCCTGCTAAACTACTACACCCCAACTAGCTGGTTTGAGGTTAATTTATTCAGTGTTGTATTTGCAGGAACGAGGCATTGGCACGAAGGGACTTGCCTTTTGCCCCTCCAGACTGTGCCCTGGAACTAAAGAAGCAGGTGGGAGTGAGAGGCCAGTATTTGGGGGCCGGTAGGATTCCCAGGGGAGGGAGTGCCTGCCGCCCCAGCTTCAAGGTCAGTGTCCAGCTCGCTCGACACTGTGGACAGAAAAAGCCATTGTTTCTCCTACTGGGCAGTAACTGAAGGAGACTGCTCAGTGCATGCTACCAAAACCTTGGTTAAAAGTAAGCACAGAAAAAGTGACTAAGTTCTGAGCTCACCTTTCCTCTCGCACACCCAGTCCTGATCCTGAGCCACCAGACTGTCCCTAAAGGATAAGGGTGTTTTGGTGTCCCACCAAAACAGCAAAATTCTGAGCCCTCATTGGGCAGAGGGAGGCTCCGATTCTTGGAGTAGTTCGAGGAAATAAAAGACCAGAAAAGTCAAGAAGCCCTGCTCCTGCCTGCAGCCTCTCTGAACATAAAGTCACTTCACCCTTGATATTGGGGTTTCTTCCTGACTTTTTTTTTCTTTCTTTCTTTTTCTTTTCTCTTTTCTTTCCTTATCTTTTTTCTTCTTTCCTTTTTAAAGCTAAGCCCAATGAATACAATACTTGTGCACAGTGAGTGGAAAAAATGTGTTAAACGTCGGTTTGACGCCCCACCGGAGCTTCCAAATATCCAACGGCTGGGATTCTTCTACTTAATTTAATCTTTATTAGACAGGGCGGCTCCTACCCTCTTATTCACCAGGAAACACCAGGAAACGGATCTGTTGGGGTTCAGAATTGAGGACGGTAAAGAGAGGAGTTAAAGAGGGATTAATCCTCTCCCTCCCAACCTCAAACTTTGGAACTTCGATCTCCTGTAGACTGGGGTAGATGGGAGGGGTTCAAGGTCCCAGCCCTGACAGCCAAGGGTCTCTGCAATCTGGAGCAGGGGGCAGGGAGGCTGGCATGTTGAGATGGGAACCTGTAGCCCCGGTAACCATGTATTCCTCTAAAGGAATTTACAGCAAAGTGACCCAGGCTCTGGGAGCAATGTGAATCTTACTTAAAAGAACTTGGGGGGGGGTGGTAGAGAGAGCGGAGAGCTTCTTAGGAGGTAAAGCCCAGTGCTTTCAATCCTAGAAATCAAATGTCCTTTT